CCTCTCCCCTCTCCTCCTCTTCCTTCCTTCCTCCCTCCCTTCCTTCCTTTTCCTAATCTAAGAAATCATGTGAGACCTTCCTATGCCATTGTTTTCAGTCAGTACCCTACCCTGTACTCTCATTCAATGAAAACAGAAAGATCAGCAGAATTTAGATCTTTCTCCTGCTGTGAGCCAAACAGGCAGGCTCCAGTTCGTGCAGAGACAGACATGTTTATCTTTATTTCTTTCTATGCCTATGAGGTCAGAGATTTGCACCACACTTGGATTGGAACTCCAGTTTAGAGGACTTCCCAGTTCCTATACTCTCTCATGCAAATGTGCCAAAAACTCATCCCTTGAAAGAGGAGCATACTTAGAATATTTAAAGTATATTTAAATAGCAGCCTCTCAAACGACAAAAAGTGCCCCCCCCCAAGGGTCTGTTTGATGAATTTGTGTGAATCCGCCCTGATTTAATATGAATTTAAGATTCATAAGTCAACTCAAGTTTGCAATCTGAGATGTGATGACAAACCAATTTAGTTTGCTTTAAGGCTTGATCAGAAGAAATTAAGAAAAATCTGGCCTCTGAAACAGCATTACTTCCTGGATGGCCTCCTTACCTCTTCCAAGTCATCTAAGTCATCCAAATCAGACAAATTCAGAATAATCTCCAATGTCCCTTCCAACCCTATGATTCTATAATAATAGTCCTTAGAGGTTGCTCATGCATGTTCATCATTTAACAACTGCAAAATATCCCATGTGTTTTCAAATTTTTGGCACTTTTCCATCCATTCAGCTGTTGAGTCATCAAATGTGAGTGAATGAAGAAAAATCAAATCATGTCCAGGAGTGTGTGAACCAGGCTCTGTACCATTTCTTCTGAAATGTAATTAATTTAGCATAATTACAGTGCAAAAGTTGTCATTCGGGAGCCACCACCATCAGATGTCTTCCCACACTGCTAATTATGCTATTTTAATTTCATATGCACATTTTCCCTTTGTCCCTGTGTGCATGAGAAAAAACACGAGGCAAATAATTATTTTATTAGTAGAATATACAATTAAGCCAGCTGTAGTCCTCCTCTCTCTCTCTCTCTCAGCTTTCTAAAATATGAACGTTTGTGTCTATTGAACTAAATGCAGTGCACAGGCTCATTGTCTCAGTAAGCTGCAGCACATAGCTGTTCTTGGATATTCTCAGCAATTAAGTAGGATCAGACCTGGGGATGCCAGGATATCCCAGCACTGCTGGCAAGACTCAGTAGTTGATAACAACCTGGAAGAAGCAATGGTGAACCACTTTACTAACAGTACCAAGAAAACAGCAAGGACTTAGTCATAAGAACATCCCTGCTAGATCCTTGCCAAGGTCCATATTAGTCCAGCGTTTTGCTTCTTTAAGTGGCCAAGCAGGAGATGGAGACATTCTTCTCTCCCACCAGGGTTGCCCTGCAATCAGTATTTAGAAGCAAACTGCCCCCTGATCCAGATGGTTACACTGAGTCTTCAAGACCAATTGCCCTTGATAGTTCTGTCCTCCATGAACGAATCCATTCCTCTTTGAAAAGCTTTGCATTTGTTAGCCATCACTGTATTCTGTGGTAATTAATGCTGATTAGTTATGTGCTTCCTTTGGGCTATTCTACATCTTCTTCCAATATTTGAAAGAGGGGGAAAAGCCCTCTTCCCCCTTTTCTCTATGCTGTTTTTTACATCTCAATCATGTCCCCTCTTGGTTGCCCTTTTTCTAAAATAAAAAATCCCAAGCATTCCAGTCTTGGCCAAGCGTTTGGGCTCCTTGTTTATTTTGGTTGCCTGTTCAGCACTATTTCCAGCTCTACTAGTCCTTTTCCAAATGTGGTGACCAGAACTGTCCAGAATAGTCCAGATGGCAGATGTCCCATGGATTTGGATAATAGCACTACCATGTTGACATTTTTATATTCAGTCCCTTTCCAGATGGTTTCCAAGACGGAATTTCCCTTTTCCACAGCTGCTGCACAGAGTCGACATCTTCACTGAGATTTCCACTAGTATGTCAAGAACTTTATCCTGGTTAGTTACAAATAGCTCATATTCCATGAATGTGTATGTGAATGTAGGGATTTTTGTCCCAATGGGCATCACTTTACATACATCTAAACTGAATATGCACTAATTCAACATTGGAATAGATTAAAAGAACCTTCTGGAGTTCACTTTTGGATTGCAGCACCCTCAATAGTTTGATAAGGTTTTTTTTTTTTTTTTTAGAAAACGTGCCATTTATGCCTGTTCTTCACTTTCTGTCTTTTAACCCATTAACAATCCACACAAGGGCAGGCCTGCATATCCCATGGCCACTAGGTTTTCTCAAAAGATTTTTGGGAACCCAAGGATGAAATGTTGACAGGTTACCTCCATCCACGTGCCTGTTGACACTCTCAGAAAAGTCACCAAGAGTTGACTTTTCTACTGGACAGCCTCTTCTTTCTTCCTAAAGATTCCACCCAGAAAGTAGCATAAGAAATGTAAACAGAACAAGAACCACGGATGAGAATAAAATGCATTTTAAAAAGGATGTTCCCATATGCTGGGAGTGCAGGCTGTTTTGATTATTAATTAATAATTAAATGAATATAATATAATTGCCCTAGGATTTTTTTTAAAAAAGAGGGGTGAAGTTAGTTGCTATCTTTCTCCAGGCTTTGAAATGTCATACTCTCAGACTTGGGAAGTGCAGAGACACAGGCTTAAAATTAATTTTGCATCTTGAATTCAGAAAGCCACAGTCAGGGTGACACTGTGAGCAATTAGTTGAAATTGGGGTACAAACTTTTTTTGTAAGAAGAAGAGACTGTAGCAATTTGAAGCACTTTCAGGAGCATACAGTACTTGCTGGCCTATTTGTATACTGTACAGTATTTGACAATGAAGCAAATGTGATAAAACCATGGCTCCTGTAATTTCCCATCTACTAAAATCTTCAGTCTTTATTCTATGGTTTCTCCCCTAGGAGGCAAGAGAGACTGTGAATTAATTGAACGGCTCTTACAATAGTGATTGTTGCACTTCTGCCCCACCCAGTACTTTTGTTTTTTAATATTAGTGTCCCTACAGATAATGTGAGTCATTTGTTGGATCTGTCACCATACCAGGAATGTATCAGTAGGACTGTTTGGTCTACAATAAAACTTTCAGTACAAATGGCACCTCCAGATTTCTCTTGTGGCTTTTCATCTGTTGTCTAAGATGAAGCCTTAAGTTATTGTAAGTGGATCTTTGGCAGATTGTGTTGGTTCAATTAATGTACGCCCTTGCACGATGTTTGGCACAGGGATGAATAATTACTATAACACCAATTTATAGAAAGAAAAGAAATGAAAATAATCCAACCACATTCATATTGGGGCATTTCATCGTAGCATCATCCACAAAACCCAGACAGACAGCCAATGAAGCTTTGGCAAACATTACAAGTTTACAGACCGTTCTGCCCCTTGAGGTCAAGTAAAGCTGAACGTGCACTGAACAGCCACAGAAGAGACTTTGGAGAAGACAAGCAGAGGCTAGAGGGTTAGTCGGAGGTGCTGTTCCAAGGTAATTATAGTTACAGAGGAGAAGGTAGAAAAAATTAAGTTAGGAATTGGTGATAATATTCCAGGAAGACGGCCATTGGTCTCCATTTCCAGCAGCAAATTATTCCAGGCCCAAACAGAATAGAGTAGAGGATAACACATCGATCTTGTTCAATGTCCCATTCCTTCCTATGCTGGGGAAACAAAATTCTTAATTTCCTGCCCTTGGACCATTCCACAACTCTCTCCATTTTTCTCTCCATTTTTAAAGTTACAGTTAGCCCTTGATTAGCAACTGCCTCATTTAGCAACCATTCACAGTTACGACAGTGATGAAAAAGTAATTTTGTGACCAATCCTTGCATTTTACGACTTTCGCAGATCTGTAAAGCAAAGGAAAGCTGAAGTCAGATTGTAAGCACAGTCACAGATTCACTTAGCAATCGCTTCACTTAATGACCAAGTTGCCAGTCCCAATTGTGGTCACTAAATGAGCTACAATAAAGCCTGGGGGCTGCTCTAGAAGGAATAACTATTCCTTAGTTGCTGATCCTTGTCTTTCATTCATTTTCCACGTAAACTAGGTCTCAGCGAATTGGATCAGTGGCACAGGTTTATAAAGCATAGCCATTAAGTCCACAATAAGATTAATTTCAATGCTGCCTGTACTGTTGGAGACACCTTGCTTGTGGATAAAACAGTCTAGGTTTCTGATCTCCTTAACTTTCATGTGTGACAGTCTCCCAGGTCTTCAGCAGGGGCCCTTTGCCACCTTGCCAGAGTCACTGCAACAGCCCAGACCTTGCAACATCCCTAGGTGGTATCCATGAAACCCAAAAGAAAAGTTTTTCACATGAGATCTTACAAGATCTCAGAGATGAAGTTCCAATCCTATGTAATTTAAATTATTTACACCAGTAAAAATTAACCACTTTTAAACAAAAAACCCTAAGGGTATAGGAACCAGTAAAAAGGCATTAACCTGAAAATTATAAAATGTATGATTGGGAAAAAATAGGTTCCAAAGTCAGCCTGGGAACTAATATCATTGGGTTCACAATCCTAAATTACACCAGCGTATTACATTCTGAGATTTACTTTCAAAATGACATTTTTGAGAAATGCTCAGGTTTAATAGCATTTGTTGAAGTACTGAATATTTACAGCCCTGAATATATTTATTTATTCCTTTTTATATTGCTCTTTCCATGTCATCACTTCCATATGGGATATATAGAAAATTACAGTCAAAAGTAATGACTGCCATAAACTATTTTTTTCCTACAAATGGCCATAGGTGTGTAATATTTTCAAGAGTGGATCCTTAGTGTAAGTTTATAAATAACGACTCATGAAAAGTACTTTTTAAAAAACTTTAGACTGCTATAAAAAGTATGTTGGCCACGTTGTCTGCTAAGATAGCGCTTTAGGCGAATTTCATCAAGTGTATATAATTGGTTTTTTAAAATATTTTATGTAGTTAAATTACTCTACACATATATTGCTTAAGAATTATTTTCTTCCTTAAGCAGAAGTTATGGGAAAAATGTGTCAACCAAATCTTATTTAGTAAGAATAAATAAATTCCGTGGAAATTAATTCATTCCATTCAATCAGACTTTATTTTACAAACGGAAACAAACATCTTGCAGATATTGTTATGTCAACATGTAAGATGTATACTGAAATTAAGTATTTTTTGCAAGTAATGACAGGGGAGTCTCCAGAGAGTGGTCCAAAAAGTCAAGATGTCACCATAACAGTACGATTGAAGCTCTGCCCATTTTTATGCCCATTGCAACATATGGCACACATAAAAAACAACTGGAGCTTTGATTGCACTGTCATGGCTGCCATCTTAACTTTTTACCATGACCAGTGGGATGTCCTGAGTGATTATACATTAAACCTAACACTTATGTTAAATAAGATGGATTTTATTGTTTACACATCTGTATTCTTTTTTTTTTTTTCAGTGCCAGAGATGTTTGTGCTGCTCTGTATAACAAGTTTTGCTATCTATATCAACGGTCAACCTCTCCACAGCCAGTTTAAAGGAGAAAACTACTCCACAAAATACGTTTGTAGCATACCTGGGTTACCGGGGCCCCCAGGTCCTCCTGGAAACCATGGGTCACCTGGACCACATGGGCGGATTGGGATCCCAGGACGAGATGGCAGAGAAGGCAAGAAGGGAGAAAAGGGTGAGAAAGGAAACACAGGTACTGAATATTCAAACCTTAAAAAAAAAAACCTATCAAAACAGCTGTAGTCAAAACACAGCCTACAGTTTTTCTAAACCTTGATCTGTGGAGCAGTAGGTCTATCTACTGCTCCACAGTGCTGCGAAGGGGCTATAAAGTAAGAGTTGTGAATCAGGACAGTCCTGCTTCAAAGCTGACATCTGCAAAATGCCTCCTCCCAGAAGTGTGGTATTATCACTCATGATCCCCAGACAGCAATAGACTTGTAGTCCACCACACCTGAAAGCCATCAAATTGGTGCTAGAAATTCATTTATGAAGCTTCAACAAGCTCTTTGTTCTCAAACTAAACTCCTCTTTTACAATATGGGCATAATATTGACCTTGACAGCAGTAACTGTGGTGGTGATGATGATTTGTATGCATCTAATGATGGTGTTCCTATTTATGGTTTCAGCCAGCCTGAAAATGGATTCTTGAAGTGCTATTTAGTGCTATTGAAGTGCTATTTAGTGTTTGCAGATAGTAGAGAAGTAGATAGTAGAGAAGTTTACCTGAGAACTGCCTGTGGAACATTAAGGGAAATTCAGGATCTTACCATTGCTGGGACTGGATGTAGTTATGTGTCCTACTTCCCAAACAAAAGTAGCTATAAAGCATTTCATGTGATCATAGATGAATCCTCTGCAGCTAATTAGGGCTTATTCCAATACAGCTTTAGCGATACGTCTCTATGTGAGAAGGAAGTCTTGAGTATGTTATGATCTAATTTGAGGGGAGGGGGCTAATTTCATATTCAGATGTAAGGACAGTTGAATTGCCAAAATCAGTAAAAGATGGAATGCACAAGGGAAAAATATCTGTTTAGAATGTTTAAATATCTCCTTATTCTGAAATACTTGGTAAACTCTTGAGTCCAAAAGCACTAAAAATCAAGCAACCCTGGAAAATTCAAGTAATTTGTCGATAATAATACAGAGTTCTCACTCAATAAAGTTAAATAAATCAGTTCATGGCAGATCTGAATATTCTCACATATCCAGATTTCAGTGTCAATCACTTTAAGAATTTTCATACCAATGTTGCATTCATTTAATTAAAGTTTGGGTCATGCAAAAGATTAATTGGATTAAATACATACTTTAAATAGTAATGACACAAATCTAAAGCTGTTGGTGGTGAAGGAGGGAATTTTCCCCTTGACAGAAATTTTGAACTTAGAGGAAGGAAGGAACCCTATTCTTTGAGCTATGATTAAAAACATATGTACAAAGTGCTAAAAAGAAGTAAGAGGCAATAAGTCAAATAAATTATGAAGTAAGAAAAAGAAAAGGAAATAGAGGAAACCCTTGGTTTTACAGACCATGAAAGGGGGTGGCGTAAATTAAACCCAAATCTGCAATAAATCCATAAGTAAGGTATTTATGTCATTTGTATCAATTTATATCATTTGTGTAGTTATGTCATTTGCATTAATTTACATGATTTGCAAAATAACTTCATTAACAAAAGATGCAAATGATGTAATTTCTCTCAAATTATATTGTTTGCACAATGGAGTCATTAACTGATATAACTTGATGCAAATAACAATTTATGTCTTAGCCAGCCAGCCTTCAGCTACATCCATCCACCACACTGTAAATTGCTTTTTGTACTTCAAACTTCTTACCTCTGTTCTGATATACAGCCATTTCCACTTCTTTCTACATACTACCTATTACTTTTCTAGCAGAATTTGCACATTTAAAAATTCTCCATTTCCCATTTTTCAGTAACATTCCACCAAGGTTCACAAATTCACCTACTTGTTCTTGTTTTCTGCCATATATATATAATTTTAAACAATTCACTCCATTTATTCTGTCAAACACAACCAGCTTCATCTTTGATACAGCAATTTTCATATCCATGCTCCTCATTGCATCATAAAAATTATCCAACATTCACTGCAAATTATTCAGGTTCTCAGCCAACACCATTGTCTACATACAAACTATATGCACATTCATATCCACAAACAACTCACAACTCTAACATCACCACAAGCATTACTTTTACGTAAATAATAACAACAAAAGAAACAACACCTATCTTTGTTCTACTCTTTGCTCAGTGCTGAACTCTTTGCTAAGCATTCTATTATTCCCAGAGGTGCTTTATGTACATCAAATACCACTCTTACTATATTTACCAATAAATGTCCAATATCACACAAATCATTCCATAATGGAAGCCTATTGACTTTACTATATGTTTTTACACTTTTTATAAATTGACATGTGTACAATACAGTTTTGCACATTTATACATTTGTCAACTACCTGCTTGGGAGAAAGAAATGTTATCTGCACACCCCTTGCCCACTTCCTAAATTTTGCTCATTGCCATCTTTTGTAGCCTTTCAAATCGAATTAATTACATATATGAAACATAGTTTTTTTAAAAACAGATTTTCATAAGCCACTATTCTCATTCATTCATGGGTCTCTAAATGATCCAATCACATTTTCTGTGCTCTCTGATCTTGTTCCTACCCATCAATTCATTAATCAGAAAAATTTCCTGGATCGCATTCAACAGAAAGCTGCACATTTTCCCTCCAAATTCATCCTGGTTCTTCCACTATTGCTATTCAATGGAGCATAACATGCATTATCACAAGCCTATAGATTCCTACTTTCATATGTACCTACAACAACTTAGATGACACCTAGATTGTACTTGACACTTTTCTGACATACACTTTAGCTTTTCTGTTGCTGATAAAGCTACACTTCGTTTTATATATTCATCTGCAGTTAGTCCTCACTTAACAATGGTAATTGGGACCAGCAACTCTGTTGCTAAGCAACATGATCATAAAGTGCAACGTCACAAGACCACGCCAATTTATGACGGCAATTGCAGCAGTCCCAGCTGCTGTCATTAGGCGAATCTCACACAGTCACAGTGTCCAACGGTCAGGTGATTGCCATTTGCGACCTCCTGCCAGCTTCCCCATTGACTTTGTTTGTCAGAAGCTGGTGATGAAGGTAGCAAATGGTGATCACGTGACTGTGGGACACTGCAGTGTCACAACTGTGAGCAGATCCCCAAATGCCCAAATCATGATCATGTGACCATGGGGATGCTGCAACAGCCATAACTATGAGGAGCCGTCATAAGGCCCCCTTGTCCAGCACCATCATAACTTTGAACAGTCACTGAATGAGTGGTTGTTCAATGAGGACTACCTGTACTCTACTCCACAAATTACATCTTTTCTTCACAAACACACAACCTACCTCTTTTTCTTTCTTGAATGCTGTTTTTTAATGTATGCTCTTTAGTCTTTACTTCTCTAATGTTCCAAATCACCATCTTCCATATGCCATGGTCCTCACAAAATGGGTGCTGTAGATATTGACCTCCTCTGCCCATCATGGCTCTCATCACTCAAGGCTTCCACACAATGCCTTCAGTAAGAGAGAGAAGGTGTAACTAGGTTGCCAGTCTTAGTCCTACTGGTGTCAAATGCACTATTACAAGTGAATTATTACTTTGTATTTAATAATATTAAATAAAGGTACGATTAAAACAGTTTCCTTTCTCTTAGGTGTAAGAGGAAAGATGGGTCCTGCAGGACAAACTGGAGACAAAGGAGACCAAGGACAGCCTGGCAAAAGAGGACCTACAGGATTAGTAGGAGCTAAAGGTGATATAGGACCTCTTGGTCCAGCAGGACCCAAAGGGGAGAAAGGAGAAAGAGGAAAAATAGGTCCACCAGGAATCTGTAAATGTGGGCAAATCGTACTGAGATCAGCTTTCTCTGTTGGGATTACTACAAGCTACCCAGAGGAAAGGTTGCCAATTATATTCAACAAAGTCCTTTTTAATGAAGGAGGACATTATAATCCTTCAACGGGAAAGTTCATTTGTGCCATCCCAGGGATTTATTACTTCTCCTATGACATCACGCTGGCAAATAAACATCTTGCCATTGGTCTGGTTCATAACGGGAAGTTCCGGATAAAGACATTTGATGCTAACACAGGAAACCATGACGTGGCATCTGGGTCCACCGTGATTTACCTTCAGCCTGAGGATGAGGTGTGGCTTGAGATCTTCTACACTGACCAAAATGGCCTCTTTTCTGATCCTACGTGGGCAGACAGTCTGTTTTCAGGATTTCTCTTATATGTAGACACAGACTATCTTGATGCTCTGTCAGATGAAGATGATCTGTGATGGAGGTCTCCATACTTCTAAATGGACAAAAGGCAGTGGACAGAATCTGCCCTTCCCTCTTCATAAGACAACGGCTTTGTCTGGGATTTGGGTTTTGTTGTCAAAGGGTCCAAAGTAAAAGACTTATTTTCAAACAATAGAAACTTTCTTGGTTGTCTACTATTCTTAGAATCCCAAAAATGGTTCTATTAACTCAATGATAGAATAGACCTTCAAAAACCATGTTTTAATAGTATTTAAATAAATTTAAACATAATATTTTAGACAATATATATTGAGTAATAATGTGGTTCTTGTGAACAGGAACTAGTTAAGTTGTTGAATGATGTTTGTTATGAAAACATAGATATCGGCGGTAAATACTTTGTTTAAAAGAGGTAAGTTCCAGGTAAGAAAACATGGCAACATACTCTTATTACAATTACCTTTTTGAATGATTTCACCCCAATCAGAATAGAGAAAAATGGATAGACAGACTTCTGTAGGCTTTTAAGTCAAACGATCAGTTAATCCAGTTCTGCGTTACCAGTTCTGGAGTTGGTGAATGGCTCTGGAGACTTTCATTTTTTTCTCCCCTCCATAATAACTACATTCTCTGTGGGGAAAGAATTGAACCTGAACTTCTCCCCAGTATGGTTCTCATTAATTCCTCATTCTGCTGCTCAAAGAGTGAATTATAATCAATGATGTAAGTAAAACAAAACAGTTCTTTTGGGATTTGTCCCATATAGCACCATCTTTTACCCTGAAGACTCTTTTTGGAATAAATTGTTAGATAATCAACACTGCCCCTGCAGCTAAACACAATTCTCTTTCCCCATAACTACACTTGAAAATTAAGGAGTAGGGTTTTCTTTTTCAAGAGATATATTAAAACCCACGTACGCTTTCTTTTAAAAATGAAGTGTTGCCTTCATGAACGACATCATTCTGAGCAGTCCAAATCATCATCATCATCATCATCATCATCATCATCATCTCCTCACTTGGTTGTATGCCTTTCTTGCCTAATTACAACTCAATATTTCCATTTGTTTCTAATCATTTTTCTTACTAGCCTGCATCAACATCTGTTGCGCAAGTAATTATGTTGCAATATAATTAATATTTTAATTCAGCTTGCACTCTAAGTAAAGATACTCATTCTCTGTATGACAGCCAGATAAAACTATTTAGCTTTGCTCCATCTATTATAAAAATTGGAATCTTACCTAAATAATTGAAAAACGTGATGTTTTCCTTCAACATACAGTACTTTTTACTGGATCATCACCACCATCATTATGGAAAAACAATTTTATTTGCCACACACAATATAATTATTCTTGCTCTGAAGTTCAAACAAGCAGCTTGGGGTCAGATGCTGCCCTGATATGCCCACCTCTGGACAATCATAACTTGCTTTTATATGAGATTCCTTTGAAACTGATCCAGAAACTGCAGGTAGTGCCATGCACCCCAACTAGGTTGTTCTTTGAGGTCCCTGACCATACACTCATGGTGGTCAGCCATTTTCAAGCTGTTGTGCTTGATTTACAGCTTAGGGAGAAGATCTCTCAAGAGTTTGCTTCCATTTAAGTCCACCTGGTCACTTCATTCTGCCTTGCTGTCTTACAGCTGCCAGTACTCATGGGCATTTCCTGTGTGGCACTCACACCAAACTCCATTGAAGACAATAGAAGGTTTCCAACATAAAAATTTGTTTGTTCAGGCAGGTCCTGGATTCCCCATATATTATTTTGCAATCCACCTAAGTCAACTTTTTATTAATTGTTGGACATAAGAGTTTCATGTTTATCTGTTTGCATTTATTGTACATAATGAAAATGTTTAATAGGAACCAGAATTTTTCTAATGTGATGGTTGAATGCATTCAACCAATTTATTATCTTCTGTCCAGGAGATCCAGATAGGAGAGGTTCTGAGGGAATTATCTGGGTAATGAAAAATCCACTCTCCCTTGGCCATTGGCTTCTCTCCATCTTGTGAGGGATTTCTGTGGCCTAGGAAAAAAATGGTCCATGTTCTAGAACAGCAATTTGACGCAAAAAACTTTCTACACTCAAGGAACCTGTTCCATGCTGGCTTCTTTTTGAGGAGATCTCATATGTCCACCAATCATGGCTTGCTCTGCATGTTCACTAGTAGTCAAACTAATAAAGCAGGTCCAAGGCATTTACCACCCTTTCTTCTTTTTAGTAGTTTCTGAATTTCAGAGAAATGTTTCTTTGCTGAAAAGAAGTTTCTACAGAAAACTTCTCTGTAAGTTCTTTGCAGCAAGAAGTTGAATTGTTGAGTGCAAATAAACACACACTTTCTCAATGCTCTGAAACTTTTAACATGTTCACTTTGATATAGTTGAATAAGTAGGCAAAAAGTATTTTAATATTGCTAGTATTAAATACAAGGAATTTGCTTGTGTAGCTCTGCACTGTCTACACTAGTGTTTCTCAATCTCAGCAACTTTAAGATGTGTGGACTTCAACTCCTGGAATTCCCCCGCCATGCTGGGAGATGAAGTTCACACATCTTAAAGTTGCTGAGATTGAGAAACACTGGTCTGTACTAATTGCTTGTGCAAGTTTCAGGTTTCCTCAGCCTTTGGTAGAGAAGTGAGATCTCAGCCAAGACTTCTGGTAGCTACTGATATTGGGAAAAATAAGGCAGAGTCACTGTTGAGTCCTGCAGGCCAATATATGTGAAGTGGATTGCAAAAAGTAAGGGAGTGATGGCAGGTATGTTTTCTTCCTTTATGACCTCTCTTGAGATCAAGATTTTTTTCCCCACAGTTATCAACTTGTTTTGCTTTCGGCTGGAAAGCCATTATGCAGGGTTGTCCTCAGAATATGATCAAAAAAATCAAGATGGTGGCCAGGAAGGTGTGAACGAAGCTCTACCATTTTTCGGTGCCACCATCTTGATTTTTTCACCATACCCTGCAAACACCCCTGCTATTGTAAATTTCAAGAATGCATATTTTTTGAAAGACTGCATACTTTAGTACAAGAAGGAATGGCCTCTTGTGCAATGCCTTAGGGCCCTGTGCACAAGTAGGACTTTGATTTTGCAGCCTCCAAGGCCCAGAGCACGATTGCTGAAAATTGACAGAACAGCATCCTGCTATACCAAGGTGGGGAAAGGATGAAAATTGTAGGGTAAAAGAGGCACCTGACAATTAAAATTAATATAATTAAAACACAGTGGCTGTAACAATGCATGTAAAACAGAGGTGGGGGTTTAATCTCATGGTTGTGGCCCTCATCTTGACTTTTTTAATCCCTCCCCCAGCAGCCCTGGATCCTGTTTCCTCTTCTTGATTACATTAAACACATTGTAGCAATTAATATTTGATAAATGTTACCTAGAGCAATGATACTCACACATCTTGAATATGAACCATAGGTTTATTGTTGCTTTAGGGAACAATCTGTGGAATCAATAAAGGGCAGCTTTAACTTAATGTAGAACATCCACTTCATTTTTATAAATCTCTAGTAAAGGCAATAGACTGAGGTCAATAAGATATTTATCTGAATAAATAAATAGGGAAGCATCTGTCTGAGTCTGCATGTTATATTTTACCAGCTGAACTGCATCTGCTCTATTTTAGTTAGTAATTACATCTTTCCATTGGAGTAATTTATATTTCCAAGAAACAATGTACTACTTAGAGTTTAAAATTCAATGTGCAGGCTACACATTCAAGGAAAACACCCATTTCAGGCCCAACAAATGCCATATCAAGTTTTTTAAAGCTTCTCTTGTACAACTCTTATTACATTAAAGGGCATTCCAAGTACCTGAAGGACAGATGTCTGTGGGACTTTTATTCCTATTTATGTTCATTTCTTATTTGCCACCAACTGGGGTTGGCCATGGAAGTGGGGTCAAAAAAGTTAAGATGGTAGCTGCGGTAACACAATTTTTCTATGAATTGCCCTTGCTACCAACCATATTAACAGTAAAATTCTAACTCAGAGAAACCAAGATTTCATCAGAAACATAATTCAATGTTCTTTATTACTTTATTTATTTAATCTTTTAACTGCAAGTCACACTAAGTTAGAGAGTGCTTACATCCTACTGATTGGATGGAAACCCAGTGCGCAAAGTATGGATCACTTTAAATCAAGATAATATAAATCAAAATCCCAACATGAGTTCTATCAGCCTTTCCCAAACAGGGGCCCTCACATGTCAAAATCCCCAAATTCTCTAACAGCATGAAAAGTCATGGTGCCTTTTTGCTTGGTTACAGAAAAGCAATTCAACATTATTTCACACACACCCCCACCAACTCCTGGAAGAACTAATCTATTAAGCACCTATGTTACTTGACTAAAACATTTTATACTGTCTTCCACCCATGTTAAATAAAACATAAAACTATTCGTTAGATTTAGATTCCTCCTCTCCTTTAGGAGTTCAGGATGGCACCGTCCATTTCTTTCCCAAAATGATCGTCTTCGATCAGCCCAAATCATGGAGTAAGTTTTCACGGCTGAGGGTGGACTAGACCGGAGTGTCCCCAGTCCTAGTCCAGCAGCACTTTCACTACTAAGCACACCAGCTGTGAGTAATTGGGCATATAAGCATTTTGAACTGGCACTAAAATGACTGCAGTGGTAGATCTTCCACCCAAGAGAGTGGGTGGAAGCTGCATCTTCTAGATCTTGGCAACTTTAAGATGTTTCAACTCCCAGAATTCCCGAGCCAGCATGGGATTGCTGAGGTTGAGAATCACTGATCTAGATCATCAGGCAATGTAGTGAGTAAGGAAAATGACCTTGCCAGAGATATGCAGGAAGTGTTACCTAGTCAAAAGGGGATGAAACATTTTTGAAGTCCGGAACAACCAGCTCACATTTAGAAGTGCTCAGTCAGGCTCCTCCCTGGTTCACTGAGCCATAAGAAGAGGAGGAGGAGGAGGAGGAGATGCAGCACAATCAGACTTGCAAGATTCTGTTATTAGAGCCAGTCTCAATAAAAGTCATGTTAGCCTTCCTGTGGAGTTGATTTCATGACGCGGTCTACTCGGTGGGGCTGACAAAGGCTACAGTTGTAGACATTTACTGTAACCAGACTAAAGGAATGGTTGTAGCTGCCATTCAGCTGAAGTTGGCAAGAGATACTCTTAGAAACTGAAGCCAAGCCTTGAGTGGCAATGCTGGAACATGGAATACCCCCAAAAGTACAGTGGTACCTCGGGTTA